CCTTTGGATACCTTCTGCTTGGGACCCCGTGTGATAAGGTCCTTAGTCCAGTGATCAAACCCCTACACAATCCTGGCGCAGTTAAGTATAGCATCTGATATGTTCAACTTGTATGCAAAACATATTTATAACAAAAGCAGGCTTAGACATAGAAGAAGGAGGAGTGAAAATAGGAGGAAGAATATCAACAATCTAATATATGCTGATGACACCATAATATTAGCAGAAAACCTGATAGACCTGTAACACCTACTAAGGAAGATCAAAGAAGAAAGTGGAAAGGCAGGCTTAATGCTAAACATAAAGAAAACAAAAATAATGACTATCGGGGACCTTCATAAGTTCAACCTAGACAATGAAGAAATAGAAATAGTTTAAAAATCCCATACCTGGGATCAAACATTGATAGAAATGGGGACTGCAGGCAGGAAAACAGAAGATTAAGAATGGAGAGGGTGGCTATGAAAGAACTAGAAAAGATTCTAAAACGCAAAGATATACAACCGAGGGGAAAAAATTAGAATCATACAAGCCATTGTATTCCCTATTACCATGTATGGTTGTGAGAGTTGGACAGTTAAGAGAGATGATGGGACGAAAATCAATTCCTTTGAGATGTGGTGCTGAAGTAGAGTGCTGAGAATCCCATGGATAGCCAAAAGGACCAACAAATGGGTCCTAGAGCAGATCAAGGCGGAAACCTCCCTGGAAGCCAATATGACATGAGGCTGTCGTACTTTGGACACATCATGAGAAGGGAGGATTCTTTGGAAAAAATAATGCTGGGAAAGGTGGAGGGAAGTAGGAAGAGAGGAAGGCCACATGCTAGATGGATGGACACTATTAAGAACAGAGGTAGGCAACCTTTTTGAGCCGGGGGCTGGGTTGCTGTCCCTCAGACAATTGGGGGGGCCAAAGCACCATAAATAAATAATTAATAAAATTTAAAAAAAAATTTTTTTTTAAATATGCATGCACACACTCTCAGCCGCAGAAAAGCCATGGCAAAACCCCTGTGGAGATTTTGCCAAGAAAACCCCAAGAACACTTAATAACAACAATAATTAATATCATTGTGGGCGGCGGCGGCGGCAGGACCAGCCTGGGGCCGATCCAAAGGCCTCGGGGGGCCACATCTGGCCCCCGGGCCTTAGGTTGCCTACCCCTGCTTAAGAAGGTCACGTATGGGGTTTCAGGAATTAAGCAGAGCAGTGGAGGACAGAGGGTCTTGGGCAGGGGTCGGCAACATAGTCTTACCTGGGGCTGGTCCACTGGTCTCCAGGCCGAGGGGGGATGAAATGGCACCTCATGCGAAGTATGCCGGAAGTACTGCACATGCTCGCTTGCGCATGTGCAGTACTTCCGGCGTACTGCGCGAGCGAGTCGCAGCAAGTACTGCGCATGCGCAAATGAGTCGCACCTGCCATTTTGGAAAACAAAATGGCAGCCACGACCCGTTTGCACATGCGCCAGAGTACTGTGCATGCACAAATGAGTCGCACCTGCCATTTTGGAAAACAAAATGGCAGCGGCGGCAGCAGGACCAGCTTGGGGCGGGTCCAAAGGCCTCGGGGGGGCGGATCCGGCCCTCGGGCCGTAGGTTGCCGACCCCTGGTCTTGGGGATGTCTCATCCTTAGGGGCGCCATGAGTTGAGATCAACTCGAGGGCAGTTAACAACAACAAAAATCGTTAGCAGTTTCCGATTGAAGTATTAACCAGAGCTGGCTTCAAAGATCAGATGGGCTTGTTTTCTGCCTTACCAGAATACAAACCTCAGGATTCCATAGGAAGTAGAATAATAACATTATTAAAGTAGAATAAAAGCATTATAATTGTGTAATGTGAAGGGGCTCCAGATGTTGCAAACTCAATGATATTGCAGCAACATTTTTTTCTCCTTTGACAATATTGATCTGTGGGGTTGTAATTTTCTTTATTTTTAGTCTTGTAAGCTTCCTAGAGAATTTTGGTCATAGAACTATAAATAAAAAGGGAGATTGAGGGGGGTTGCAGACTGCCAGAAATAGTGCAAATTGAGTCCACTTTTAGGGTTAGGGTTAGTGCTAGGGAATCATGGGAATCGTTTTTGTTCTGAGACATTGAGCCTTCTCTGTCAGAGAGCTCTGATGCCACAGTAAAATACAGTTCCCATGATTCCCTAACTGTAACCCTAACCCTAAAAGTGGACTCAATTTGCACTATTTCTAGCAGTCTGCAACCCCCCTGAGTCACACACACTTTTTGTGTCAACAAAACTAGCAGAAAGAAATGGGTTTGTGTAATGTAGGAGTTGATGCTGGTCTTTAAATTCTTGTTTGACCATTAAAGCTTCTGGAGGCCTTTGTGCAAATTACCAGCGTTCACCTAACTGATCTCAAAAGATTGTTGTGAGCATAAAATGGACTGTAAACTGTCTTGAACTCAAAAAGGTGGGCTATAAATATAACTTGGTTTGTGTCAACATAGGATGAATGAGGCTCATACTGAGCCTGAAAGGAACAACCTCTTCAAGCTCTCTGGTTGTCTCCAGCTTTTCTTACCAAATATTGGTAAGCATCTTCAGAAGTAGACATAGTTCATTAACTAGCAAGTTAATTGCTTTGTAGGAATGTGTATGGCTCTTATTTACTTAGGGCCTTTGCAGACTGCTAGAAATAGTGCAAATTGTGCCACTTTAAGGGTTAGTTCCACTGTAAGGGTTAGGGTTAGGGAATCATGGGAACTGTATTTTATTGTGTCACCAGAGCTCTCTGACAAAGAAGGCTCAATACTCAGAAAAAACAACAATTCCCATGATTCCCTAGCACTAACCCTAACTCTTAAAGTGGACTCAATTTGCACTATTTCTGGCAATCTGCAAAGGCCCTTAGTTTTCTCTTTGGTATCCATGTTGGAATTGGCTTAGAAATTATATTAAACAGGTCAAACCAAACTTATGACTACAAAATATAGAGTTGTGACAGTGACAGCACCAAAACTGATTTGCTAGCTGCTGTTTGTGTATATGTGTTTTCTTGCTTTTATGTTTATATTTTTCCTTAAGTCACTTCTCACAGAACCTCATCTTCAGATACCTACAGAATGTAAGTGAACAACCTTGTTTGCTTTTAACAATGGACTGTAACAAGCAGTGATACTCAATTTACCTAATTTGATTTATGGGAACAAAAATTCTAAAATGTGTTTTTAACATGTTCAGATATACTGTAATTAATAAAAATCTAGGTTCTTGTAAACTTCATAATTTTATAAGATGTCAAAACAATTTATTTTATTCTGAGTTAAGCATATGCATCTTCAAAAATATGTAAGATAATTGTATGCTGGATTTGAGTAAACATGCTTTGGAATCGCTGATAATTGGTTCAATAACAAGCCATGATTTCTGCTTATCATTAGCTTTCTATAAATGGTCTAATTTCATACTGGCTTTTGGCCTTTCTGTGTATTTTACACCCTGACTTGAGAACTCACATTCTCTCCTTGTCGTTCTTGTGTCCTGGAGACCTTGAAGGAAAATCTCTCATATTGTGCAGAACTTTGAATTGGACAGCTTCAAAGCTCCCTCCTTCAAATTCAACATGTCTTGGCTATATACCACATCCCTCCTACTCTGAAGAAA